CTCACTAACATAGAAGTGGGGATTTCATTCACTCTTCAATCCCACTCGCCCTGACGACCGTTCAATCCTTCACCGCTAAGTGAGAACCACTTTAGATAGGACCCTTGGCGGAGAAAGATAAAAGGTCTTCTGATGGACTTCGAACAAGACGAAATTAGCGACCCTCTCAGATAACGATGGCTTTGTCTCACGGCGTCAATTTATTCTTCCACCATTTTTCATTTTTATTTCAAGTTTTAGTCTAATGAAATAGTCACTTTAATTCGTATAATTGCTTCACCATTGTCTTCAACTTTTAAATTAAGTTTTATTTCAATTGTACTCTAACTTCTATTTAGTATTCTATATCTTGCATTGCTAAACTAACAATAAAAATTCGCATTTTATTTCATTTATTTCAATTAAATCAATGTTATCTTGTTATATGTTTATTGAATAAAATTATAAAAATAAATTATTTTTTAATGCCTTCATAGATAAATTATTTTTTATCAAACATCAAACGTATACGAACTTTTTTTCATAATTGACTTCTCATACATATTCATATTAAAATTCTATATGATTTCATTTTATTTCTACCAAACTTTTTATCGCTATTTGTTATTTAAACTCAACAATTTAATATTTACATAATAAAAATTTTTTTAATAAATAAAATAAACGTACATGAAGCAGAATAAACGTACGAAATGTATGAAAAAATATTTTTTTATAATTAAAGAATAATTTATTTTCATATTTGAAATGGATAAAATTCAATCAGAGTTGAAAATATTCTTTGTAGAATAAAAAATTTATATTTACTAAATTGAAAATATTTCGTGTATGACTTGAATTAATCAATACATTTTTTTTTTTTTAACAAGTGATTCAATCAATTGAAATAAAGATAACATTGAAACAAAATTTTTAATAAATTTTCTTATACACTATTGACAGGTTTGTTCTACTTTTTTTTTGCTTTCATTAAATGCTGAACAGTGCAAGAGATAAATATTGAGTGGTATATCATAAATGAGACATTTCTTGTCGTGATATGAGATCTCCAGGGAGTAAATACAAGTTCAATACTACAGCTGGTTTTGTTAATTAATATTTATGGCGATATCCAAGGGGATATAAGCTTCTTAAGCTTCTCATCATTGTCTCGCCCTTTTTTCTACTAATAAGACATGTTTATTTCTCTTCATCTAACCATCAACACCTGTCCTAGTTGACTCGAAAAAATCTAAAGGCAACATTTAACCTCAAACACAATGACATTAATTTATTCCCCATTCGAGAAACTCGTTTTTATAATTAATGATAATCATAAATAAATTTTATAATTATTTTTCCCTTGGTTCATAGGTCAAATAATTTTTATTGAAAAGTCACTTTCGCTTCGGTGAGCATTCAGGCGTAAAAATCAGTTGAAAGCCTAAGAATATTAATTCAAGTGACAAAATGAAATCTGTAAATTGAACTGATAGTTTTAAAATCATATTCCGTAACTTGTTAATTAATTGATTAAATAAATTACAGATAAAATAAAAACTGCTAAAAAGAAGTAAGAAAAATACCAACTTGTTTTATCCATTTTTTGTGGTGGAAAAAATATCAAGCTGTGAATTGGTTAAGACGCACCAAGTGATTTATTAATTCGATTAAGTATCTTATAAGCAATGCGTCAGTTTAATCTTAGTTGAGTGCGATTGGCCACTTTTATATATAGTGACCACACTCACGCAAGCCACTGGGCACCACGAATAACCATTTGACTAAAAATAAAGTGTCTAATAAGATACAAACTCCATGTTGACATTTATTAATTCCTAATCATTAACTTCTTGACTCTGTTGTAAAGGCATTCTAATGTCTGACTCTTTCTAGCTTTATCTACTTTGGTATGCGACAACTTAAACTGAACTAAAAAGCAACATTTGGCCAAATATTCAACTAATTTATAAATGGAAAACAGAAAAGAAATGACTATAAAACGAGGGGGTGATAGTGATATAGCTCGTGGTGCATCAAGACAACGTATCAGAAACGACTATCTATCGCTGCCTTTTACGTTAATTGATAAATCGTGTTGCGTTAATGAATGGTGCGATTCTGGCCAAGGGGCGAGAGAAGAAAAGAAAATGCCAAGTTTTATATATACTTGCAAACAGTAAAAGTAATTAAATTGTATGAAAAATGAATTTCAGAAATTCACTTAATTATGTTTAATAAAAATAACTAAACCAAATAATTAATTAATTCTTTCAAAAAAAAACTATCCTCATTCTTAAACGATGGAAAAAAATAATTGCTAAACTACTTTCCGAAAAAATAATCTAAAAAAAAAATTACGAAAGAATTTTTTTAATTACGTAGCTTTTTTTTACTCAATGTTCTTCTTTATAGACAAAAAAAAAGGTTAAGGAAAAAAAAATGATTTAATTTACTCTTAATTGAAAAATTCCAATAAACTATGGTTATAATTAAAGTAATACCGTTGACTGAATGAAGATTGTTTTTTCTCTCTGGAAGAAAATTTTTAATTACGGAAATTTTCCACTTATAAACCCATCAAATTCATTCTCAATAAGTTGCATTTTCAATCGCCATTATCCTTCACTCTCAATTACTTTAACTTGATTTTCTTTTTCAATCGAATATAAACTCACACTTATAAACAATCTATAGAAACTTGCACATACATCCACTTCAGTTGATCAACTATCCAATTGCACATGAAGCACTAATCGTGCAATTAATCTCAATCTGTTTAATAACACCTCCATTACTCTACGAGAAACCGAGTCCTTCACCACACTGTGTGTCTCTGCCGGTTTGTGGTAGTTTCATCATTGGATCATTGAACTAAAACCCCTATCATATAAACTACCTACACCTATTCAAAAATTATTGACACACCCTTCTTGATCATTATTCCTCTTCTTATTTACGTTTTCCGTTCGCTCAGTAATCATTTGTATCTACCTATCGACGCAAGCGTAACGTATTACTCCAGCCTCGCTTTAATTGAAATAAATGGTTGCAGGCAAGTGCATCTCGATTACAGGCTGACTGTATTGCAAACTCCATTCAGATAATTTGAAAAACTTGTTAAAAATGATAAAAATCATATCTTTTATATCTTCAATTAATTAAATTGACTTTTTTTTCAATAGTTCTATCAATTAAATAATATTAATGGTTCTATACGTGTGACGAAAATTGATTACAACTTGCCAAAAATACCGTTATATCCACAACTTTTGCTGTTGCTGCTTACTCACCACATGTCCATTAATAAAAATAATCAACAAGCATATAAGATTTTTTCAGTCACCAGACATATTGATGACATTTCATTCAAGATTATTATTTATTAATTACCTCTAACTTTCTATATTTATGCTAAATAGTTTGCAATTAGAAATTTAATATTGGTAAACTGATAAAAGCTTAAAGATTAATTAGTGAACAAGTATGTTGATATATTACCTACACTGATAGAAGAGATTTTAATTGGTAAAAAATATTTTTTAACTGTTAAGAAATATTTCTTCACGATGAAATGAGATTTCTTTATTATAAAACTATTCATGTGTTTATAACCAAGGTATTTTTAATACTATAAAATATTTATTAACACTTAAAAAACATTGATTTCAACAATTAAAAAATAAGAAAAGACTACAAAGCAAGAATAAACCCCTTTTTGCAAACTAATGAAGTCTAGAGGCTGTTAATCTCTTTAAAGTTTTGATCATTATGAAAAAAAATGTAATAAAAATTGTTTAAGTATGATTGTATTAGGAATATTCAATAAAAAATAGTGTGAAAAGAAAGTTAGTAGTAATTGTAGTACAAAGTAAGTTTCATTAGGTTAACTAGTTAAACACTTTACAAGGTAACAAGAGAATAAAGAGTCCGGACCAGAAGAAAGGAGATAAGACTTCTGGGACTAGGTTTCCAACAGTTCTCTCTAAATAAGTATCAACAGTGTGCAAACGTCTGAAGGAAATTCGAAGGACGCGAAGCCAGGGACCAACGAGCCTGTAGTTTATCGAATTAAGGCAATTAACAGTACAACCGTTCGTTGGACCGTGCCACTCAGCAGCCTATCGCCCTGTACACTCGAAAGCTCTTTACTTTCCTCGTGCTAGATAACCAACACCAATAAACATGCTCGAATTCACACACTCCTTTCGCTAAATTTCGGCTATTCACGATACCGAATGTGTAGGAAGATAATAATGCAGTTATCATGTAACTATCGATAGTTTTATTTCCCTTTTTTTCAAGTCATAAAAATGATAAATTCAATAGTTAAGATTGATTTATAGTTTAATATTTTCTAGAGAAATTTTTCCTATCAAGATAAGTGAGTGTATCAAGTCACAGAGTGATCTATAAGAGCTTTAGTATCTCGTGCAGTAACTGGAGTGCTTCTCAAGTTACAAATCTCCCGGCGCCATCGTAAACGGCCTATAAAAATTTAGCACGGCATTTAAACTTGTCACTGAAATAGTTTTGATGTTAACGACTTAATTTTTTCCTTCCCTTACTCATTCTTTTTTTTTTACAAATTCAAAAGTTCTATTCGAATCGCAAACTTTATAAAAAAAAAACCCCAAACTATTTTTCTAGAGAAAAAAAATTCTCTTTTATTAAAAAAAAAATTATTTGACGAATTCTGAAAAATTTTTCAAATATTCGTAATATTTTTTTTATTGCGAATTCAACGAATTGGAAAAATAATTCACGAACAAATTTGAGTTTGATTTGAGAAGTTAGTTAAAATCCCTTCTCGAAATTCCCATTGGTATCACATTGACTCAACTGAAGGATTTCAACAGAAGCTAGAGGATCGCATCCTTCAGCTTTTAAAGTAGGAAAAGCTGCAAATTCTCTTTTGATTTTTCCCTCATTCCATATCCGCTCTTTTTCTCTTGTCATCAGTTGCTTCATGTGTCCCTTAAGCTACATAACGAGTAAAATTCGAGTAAAGTTACACTTACCAAGCTGAGTATTAGTAATGGATTCACTCCGCACGTCTGTCGCAACATTTTAAACTCGCATTTAGTCGGCTTGAATCCTAACTTTATTCACGAGGCTTCACGCCACCCAAAAAATCTTCTGTTACGAAAACTACGTGCAGCTTAAACTTTTCTTTTGTTTCAGATGTATCCTGTGAAACAAAAAAAAAACAAAAAGAAAATAGATAAGTAAAAGGGAATACAATAAAAAATGAAGAAGAGAAATAAAAGCTAATATTTGTTAGTCTTGTTTACAGAAAAGGAAACTTAAAATTCTCCTCTGATAAAGAAAAATCCGAGAGAGTAATTGTAATCGATCTTACTTATGTTTGATTTCATTCTAGTGGACCAGAGTGTACGAAAGAATGAAAGAAGTGAGAAAAACAAGAAAAGTAAAAAAAAGAAATGAAAAGGAAGAGGTCGGCATCTCTTCGGTCCTATTAAAAAGCCCGTTTCCGCCTCCATTTCTGAAAGCTTCTTACAGCACTCGAGGCAACTGCGAAAGCACTTGAAAGCTCCTGAAAAGCCTGAGCCGACAACACTTCCCTGGTTGAGTGCCGTCCCGTCAGGAGGACGCTGTAACCTCGCACCCAGTCACGAAGATACGGTTACTCCAGTTACGATATCGACTCAGTCCTTATGTATTAAACATCCGCTGAGAGTTCATCCCTTTCCTACCTTTTTTCTAGTGGACACTTTCTCATTATTCTATCATTATATCTATCGGATTCATTTATTTTACATCAAAAAATTAATTAAACAATTTTTCTTTTAATCGATGGAGAATTTTTAAGAAGTAAATTATTGATTTTTTTTTTTTTCGTTGGAAATAATTGCAATTAAATAACAAACTTGTGAAGGGAGAAACTCAATACGATAAATCATTTTAAGATGGCACTTATTGGTTTTCCATTAATAATCTCACGAAGAAGCTATTAAGCGTTTATTGTCATAGTTTACAAAGATTTATTAATAAAAAATAACAAATTATAATATAGATGAAGGGTAAATATAATTTTAGATTTACAAAAAACTTATGCAAAAACTATCAAGAAGAAGATTAAAGAAAAGAAAGTCTGTAGTAGTATCGAGACAGTGTAAAATTAGTGGAATGCGAACACACTCCAGCTAAATAAATCTTTCCAACCAAGCACATTCTTCTTCTTCTCCTTCTTTTTTTCCCGTTAGCAAGAGAGTCTCCGGGGGCAAAAAGCAGGAAAAAGAAAAGCTGAAGAAAACGATAGTAAGAAGTAAAAAGGAGTAGAAGGAATAAAAAAGAAAGCATCGAGAAAAGTTGGTAGCGGAAGTGAGAAAGAAGGACTTCACCGTATAAGAGTGCCAGTAATCCGTGTTTTGAACGTACTCACTCGAGAATAACGGCGAACATACATAATGCAGTGTTGCTCTTAAAAGCGACCAATGGCATGTCGCGTTAAGTGACAATAGACTATCTGTCATCAACAATATTACAGAAAAAGTATCGAAAGTTTCAAATTGATGAACGATATTTTAAAATGATGATAATGTTATGGTGTTTATGTCACTTATTTTTGTTATAATACATACTTTGGTAAAATATTTATAAAAATAATAAATTATTTATATAATAACAATAAAAAATAATTAAATAAATTTCGTTTTTTAAGGTATTTCGATCGAAATTAATTTTCTCTTAAGATTTCTTGTACTGCATTAGAATTAAAAATTATTAAAAAATAAAACGTTTGTTTTAATACAAGAATAATTAATTAATTTTTTAGGGCTTGAGTGTATATATTTAATAAAGAATATGAATTTTATTTCCAAGGGCCTTGGGTATTTTTTTTATACGACTGAGAGCAATCGAAATACCTTAAAATTAATGAATAATAATAAATTAATTAATAGATAAAAAAATAGGATTAATCACCTTCACATTGGACAGATGAAGATAAACACGTAAATATTAATAGACACCAGCATAATATTTTTCCTAATCATTTAATTGGAATAAATGTCAGTAAACATATTAGGATTTAATTTGGAAAAAAAATTGACATTTACTGTCAATATAAAGTGAGAGCTAGAAATCAAAGCAATAAGCTTAAAATAAAGTTAGAATTGAAAAGATAATTAATATCTCATTAAATGAAATTTAACATTAATCAACACTGAAAGATGATGTTGACTGCAGTCGCAATTATCTAAGAAAACGATCATATCCGCAAGTCAGACGACTTAACGAGTCTCCAGGCGAGCGAATCGCAATTACGCTAAGGGTTGTGATTAATGACCCCCAAGGGTCACGAAAATTAAATTCAATAATTCTCTCTCCATTCGCTGAAAAATTCTTAAGGGTCCAGAGGGTAGGGGAAGTGGAGTCGTCTCGCTGCACATGCGGAGTCTGGTTAATTTCTGGACAATCGCGGGTAGTCGACGGGTGGAAACCCTTAATCCTGGGATGCTCTCGACAATTTAGAGACTGGTTAGCCGGGTTAGCGTCAAACGCGTAACCGCGTGGTCCGGGTGTGGGTAAAGAATGGCTGTAGTAATATCGCGGCCGGTTTCGTCCTCTCCAGAGACACTGAAAGAGCATGAGAGAGTAAGAGAAACGCGATGTAGAGAGCTGCACTAGCCAGAGGTGAACCAAATGCTTACAGAGTTACGAAAGCACAAGGGTGAGCAATAGGGAAAGGAGTAGAGACCACCCTCGTGGAATATAACCTGGCTCTTTAATTTAGAGTCGCCGGACAGTAATTAAAATAACCACCCCCCCAACACATATTCTGCAAAGCATTACTCCGCCCTTTTCCTCCTCCTCCTCCTCCTCTTCCTCTAGTAACTAACGTAAATTCTTACTCCAACTTTTTATTCATTAGTCATTCATATTTCTCTCTTCTTAATTATCATCATTTATTCACCTGTCCTAACTAAAAACTCATATTTTTAATATTTAATCTCATAAAAAGACTACTTGTTTATTTAAAAGTTTTAACCTTTTTTTCCTTTCAAATAATGAATGCTCATTAATCACTCATATTTAAATTAACTTGACGAGAATTTATTTAACTACCTAAGTATCAATTATTTTTTATTTTTCAAATAATTAAAAGAACTCGAAACTTATTTGAAATAAAATGATTATTTTTGCAGTAAAGTTGTGAGGATAAGTTTTTATAAAATTTTTTTATATTAAAAAAGTAATTGTCTAGTGAAACTATTAAATTTACTTCATAGATTTAATTTTGAAAAGCTGATGCAAAAAGAATGAAAGGAATGTAATAGAAGTAATAAAAGATATAAATGCATCTTAGACTGAAAATTTTATCAAAAATTGTTGAGAACCTCGTCCAACCTTGTCCACATGATTGCAATGAGAAAGACCGAGGTCAGGAGGAGCCCGTTGCAAAATAGAAAATTTAATTTAGCCTGTCACCCCCCGGCAACCCCTCCCGGTATGTTCCCTTATTGCTGGGGTGTCGCGACAGTATGAGAACTCAAACGGCAATAGCTGTGAGAGTAAAGGAGAACGCATGACGAGTATAGAATGAGAGAAGCATAGTAGGCAGTAGATACAGACAAAACTAGCGAGACGGCTTCAAGCAGTCACCGATATTAATTTCAACGAAAATGTTTCTAATTGCAATAAAATGTTTTAAATTATATGCCCAGGCTACTGTAAAATTGCTAACGTTATTAGAAACTTTAACTGAAATTACTGGTGAATGAAAATGAAAATTTATCCCAACTAAAATTAATTTATTTGTTCAATGGCATATTATATTAATAACTCATTTTTTTTTTAATGCAAACAAATAAATAGTAAAAATAATTATTAAAGTAAAGAATGGATTTGAGAGCACTTTGTTATTTGTTAAAAAAATATCGGACATACGTACGTATATGCATTGATTTTTAAATCGTTTAAAATATTTTTAAATATCTTGAAACGGAAAAATGTAACACAATTCCAAATTTTAAAGATCGACCCCATTACAATAACTTTCTAATGGAAAGTTAATAATAAATTATTTTGGAGTTATAAAAAAAATTGGGTAGATATTTGATGAAATTGCCTTTTTATTTTCTCCTAAGTGTTTTTATCCTTCAAGAAAACTATTATTTTAGTTGATCTAATTCCATTAGATATTTGATAAGTAGATAAACAACATTTTAAAATTGAAGGAAAATAGATACTAAAAAAGATTCTTATTCGATTGGTGGTCGAACGATGTACCAGGTGTTACAATAAATTTTGGTAATATTTTATTCAAGCCCAGGTCGATCGGTAGTTTTCAATTTGCCGGCTCGTATATATTTCGCGTGGGTTCGATGCTGAGCCTCGGAAACCATTTGGAAGTGGAGAAATAGGAGCATATAGAAGGGGGTGTAGAAAGAGACAGAAAGAAAGGAGCAAAGAAAAGAAAGAGGATGGGGATGCAATTTCTTGGTTTGGACGGTCTGTACATGTTGATCCGGTCCCACACAACCCTTCGATGCTTTTTCCTACCACTAAAGATACCTGATGAAAACATAATAATCCCAAGAGAGTGGTCAGTTATTGAAGAAACGGAATCATTCCATCTGCTGCTGTCGATTCAACTCCATATCTATCTACAGTCACCTTATTTCCTCCTCAAAGATCCACCAGTGCATCCAATTTTTCAATCAACAACCCACAAAATCTCTTTACAACTCTCTTGGATAGGTACTTTTTCTTCAATCAATAAAAATCCACTTTTTGGACACTGTCTTCTTTTTTTATCTCATAACCACATCAACTAACGATACTACTTTCATTTCATTTGCTCGCTAAATTAATTTTATCATTTAAAAAATTATTTTTCTATAAAAAGAATCATTTGTTTATTTAATATTGACTAATTAATAAATAGAAGTATTCATTAATTTGTTTCTCAGACAAAGTGGGATTGTTTTAAATCAAAAAGATGATTTTTAATCAAAGGTTCATTGAAAAAGAATTAATACAACATAATAATTGAACTTTAGATTTGTCTTTTCTGAATTAAAAACTAAAAAGAAAAAATAGCAAACATTTTTTGTGGTTGGTTGAACGCGATAAAACTGTACATTTAATGCATTCTTGCAAAGTCATTCGCGTTGCTGAGGGTTATTATTATTTAGTGCTGCACGAAGGGCGGCTAGAAGAGAG